TTGCCTATTTCCTTTTTGAAGGGAGAGGACACTGTGGAGTGGCTAAGATCAGCAAGGGAGGGACCTGGGCCCCTTATTTGCATATCCTATATTCATAGCAAGCTTTCAGCTGTGCCCCTCACTGAACCAGGCCTGCCACTACTATACAACAGGCCTGAAACACAAGCCCTGCAAAATGAAGACTCATTTTGGTGTTTCTGTAAATCTGCTTGTGATTTATTTCTCAAGTAGTATGGGTTCTAAAAACACTGTAAGTCTTTTGGGATTTTCATCCCAAGTAGCATGGACAGAGCAATTGTTTCCAAAAAAGAGCTGTATGCATTCAGGGCTGTTAACGCCAAAGCGCTGTAGACACCAACAACCAGTTGGCCTGAGGCGTCTGGCCCACGTTGGCATCGAGGGTGACAGCCAGCAGCAGCAGCAGCAGCAGCAGCAGCAGCAGCAGCAGCAGCAGCAGCAGCAGCAGCAGCAGCAGCTGCGTCCAGCATTACCTGGTGTCATTTGCCAGCAGAACTCACTTTGCTGATTCCCAATTTCCATCTGAGTGGGGCAGAAGAACCCTAAGCTGACTGGCAGCACCATGGCTTTGATTTGCTTTCCCCTGATTACTAATGAGGATAGACATTTTTTAAAATTTATTTTGCCAGCACTAGGGATTAAACTGAGGGCAAAATGCTGTATCACTGAGTTATTCCATGCCCTGCTCTGCCCTTTTTAACTTTTTGAAATAGAGTCTCACTAAGTTGTCCAAACCAGCCTTGAACTTGTGAGCTCCCTGTCTTTGCCCCTGCAGTAGTTGGGACTCCAGTGTGCACCACTACAGTCAGCTAACACTTCTTTTTGTAAACTTAATGGCCGCTTGGGATTGTTCTTCTGTGAATTACCTGGGCCTACTTTTCTGTCAAATTGTTTTTTATTTTCTCATTGAGTTGCAGTAGTTTTTCTGTTATAGGTAGTACATAATCTTTTTGTCAGTTATCTGTGCTGCAAATATTTTCTTCCAGTGAGAGCCTTGTCTTTTCTATATGTTTTATGGTATCTTTTGATTTTAAAAAGTCTTTAATTTTCACATCACACTTGTCAATCTTTTCTTTCTTTCTTTTCTTTTTTTTTTTTTTTGGTGGAACCGGGGATTGATCTCAGGCCCTTGCACTTGCCAGGGAAGTGCTTATTCCACTGAGCCATCTCCCGGCCCTGGTCAATCTTTTCTAATTTGTGTTTTTTTTTTTGTTGTTGTTGTTGTTTCTTTTGTGTCTTGTTTAAAACCAAAAACCAAACCAACTTTCCTACACAGAAACACCCGTTTATCTTTACTTCTAAAATATTTAAAGTTTTGTTTGTTGTATATGTGTTTTTTATTTTTGGTACTGTGGAGTGACCCCTGTGACTTTACACTGAGACACATTTCCAGCTCTTCTAGTTTATATTTCGAGACAAGGCCTTCCTAAATTGTTCAGCTGCTTAGGCTAACATGAATTTGAGCTCCCATCTCAGTGTGGCAGAGTGCTGTGTTACAGGTGTGTGCCACTAGGCCTGGCTTGTATTTACTGATTGATTGATTGATTGAT